CCCAGTGCACCCCCGAAAGAAGGGAGTGAGGGCCCTAAATACCCTGACCTTACTCACCTCCCTCCCTTCCGTTTCCTGCCAAGGATCCCCATTGGTCAAATCCAACCAGAGAAAGACAGCAGGGTGAGCAGAGTGCCCATGAATGTGGTCTATAGGGTTAGCCTCTAAGACCAGGGTGCGTAGATCTGGAGGTGTGACTGGATAATATATGGCATAGAGCTAAGTAACCCAACAAACTCATTGAGATATTTGTAAATTTTATAAGAGCAGAAACATGTCTGCTCTTGTTCATCATTCTAGGCACGTCATTCCAACACCAATTTTTCTAATTTTCTAACACCAAACTGAGTGTCCAATAATTCAATTCAATGCAACATGAACTACTCAGAGTTAGCACAGACCCCACAAGTTAAGAGCTCAGTCTCACTTTAGACACCAGCCACAAATGGGTCTCTAGGTGACCCACACTTCTGCCCAGCTGACTGCAAACCTGGAGAGGTTCCTGCAACCCCAACTCAGGTTCAATAATACATCAGAGTGAAAAGAACTCAGGAAAGTCCTCTACTTTCATTACAGTTTTATTATAAAGGATACAACTCAGGAACAGTCAAATGGAAGAAATGCATAGCACAAAGTATGGGGAAAGGAGGACGCAGAGCCCACATGCCTTCTCCACCTGCACCACCTCCCAGCATATCAACATGTTCACTAACCTAAAAGATCCCTTAGCCTCATTGTTGCAGAGTTTTTATGGAAGCTTCATTACATAGGCATGATTTACTAAGTCCTTGGCCATTGGTGATTGGACTTAATCTCCAGCCTTTCTCTTCTCCCAGAGGTTGGCAGTGAGGCTGATATTTCTAACCCTCAAATCACATGGTTGGTTCCTCTGGTGACTAGCACCCATCCTGAAACTAAGTACCCCCGTCTTTAGTCACCTCATTAGAATACAAAAGACACTCCTATGACTCTGGAAATTCCAACGTTTTAGGAGCTCTGTGCCTGGAACCGGGACAAAGACTGTATTTTTTATCATGCCCCACCAGCACACTGGACCACAGTGTCTGGCACATAGCAGGCACTTAACATTTGCTAGTGAATGAGACACTCTCCTGTTGTGGGCCCCTCTAGAGTTCTTTCTCCTTTCCTTCCTCCTTTTGAAAGATGACTGAATTTTTTAAGCCAAATGTATTCAATGGCTTTAAAGTTCTCCTTCCCCTCTAGCAGGATAACCTAAAGAAGACAAATCCTAAGAATCTTAGGGCTTCCAGAGTCTTAGGGCATTTCACACCTCTGACATCCCAAGCACAAGGGAGGCTCAAAGGAGAAACATTCACCAAGATTTTTTAGAGATGAAATTTAAATTGTTGATTTACAATCTGCTCCAGTCTCCTCACAGTTTCATCTTGTCTTGTCACCTTCACAAACAACAGATGATGCTGCCCTAAATAGAAGTAGGAAGCTAGTGTTGGACATTGGCTGGCGGTCGTAGGATCTTTTTGCTTATGTAATATGGTGTATATCGTGCCACCCAAAGGACTATATTCTGGATAGCTCCCTAATGATAGGACTCCCATCTTATGTTTCGAAAATCCCAAGTGATCAGCATTTTACTTATCATAGAGAAAATTGAATTTCCAACAGGAGAAAGTTTGAACCAGGGATGAGGAAAACATAGACTATAGTAGGGTTATTCTATTAAGTACATTAAAAGAAAAAACAAAAATGAAAACCAAACATAGGTCCATTCAGAGCTAATATGCCTTGAAAATATGGTATGAAATTCCAGTATAAAGGAGGGTTGGGGGAAGAGTGTTGAAATTTTCTATCCACCAACAGAGCTAGCTATCAATCTGATGGATTGATAGTAACAGACTATCTAATATTAACAAAAAAATGAGCCAAGCCCTATGACCTAACTCTGAACTCTCAATCAAAACAGTTATCTAAGGGCTTCCTCAGGTCCTTTTGGAGAATACTTTTAGCCCTACTCACACATCCTTGGCCCACCTTTCTGTGGAAGTGGGGTACCCTTAAACCTGAGCAGAAAATACAAAGGGGGCTCCTGAGTTTCCACAGTTGAGTGTCCTGTTTGGCCATTGTGTCCTCTGTGCATGTGACACCTCCTCTGATCAGCAGCCCACGATATCATCATTCAGGTGCTGATCAGAAAATGCATCCAAGAACAGACTGTGATCCCTTGCAAATGTTTGCTAGGGACGCCTGATATTGGAAAGAAACGCGAAGGCAGTTGTTCTAAAACCAGCCAATCAGCAGAAATTTAGCAATAGCTGGCCATAGTAAAGCCATGTTATGAGCCTTAATGGCATTGAAGTCATTAAGTCCCTGAAAACAGCTACAAGAAAAAAGTAAAATAATAAAATAAATAAATAAAATCAAATCAGCCAATCATTTTAAACGACTTAGGGTAGACAGGAACAACCAGGTGGTCATTTGAAAGAGAGGCAGTGAGAGAGAATTGAATGGATATATGGGCCCACCCAAGGTGTATGGGATCATATCTAGAGGTGGGCCTGGTGTCGTTTGTAAGCCACACATCCTCCCTCATCCTGCAAATTTTCCTTTTGATCTCTCTAAACGATAGTCACCTGGATTGGGTACAATGGAATTACATGGGGAGCTTTTTCAAAATACACGTGTGCACAAGACCTTTCCTACCCACCCACCCACCACACCGTTCTGACACACATTAGGCAGTAGCAACCTATGTATTTCAATATTTCGCAAGAGTTCCCCAGGTTATTCTGATCCTCCCTGCCCCCCTTCATCCCTCCCCAGCCTCAGCCGAGATACACTACACACTAGTTCTCTGTTACACTCGATTACTAGAAAGAGATATATTTGGGTCACATATCTTAACTCCCTGCTGACATACCTTAATGGAATTAATATTTAACAATGCACACTTGGCTTACATCAGAAATGCCTTATAGGAGCTACCTACTTGAATTTTACATTGATACATCTTCTGGAAAATCAATTTCAGTCATCGGATACGTTGCCCAACATCCATTACATAAACCCTTCCCAAAATTCCATGTCTGACAAGAGATGGTCCCCCCAGCAGAACATGTCTGTGTCTTTTTAATAGACAGTGATAATGAGATAATGCAGAGCATTTGCCCTGGGGCCTCAGCTGCTAGGAAACAAGCTATTTTTAGCAGTAGCAGCATACTGGTGAGGATCCTTAGAAATGAATCGTGAGAGACGAAATACTATCCAGTGGAACTTTCTGTGAGGATAGAAATATGCTTTGTCTACACTGTCCAACTCGGTAACCAGTAGGCACATGGGGCTAGTGGGCCTTTTAAGTGTGAGAATGTGACTGAGGAATGAATTTTAGATCTTATTTAATTTCAACTAATTTAAATTTAGAGAGCCACATGTAGCTTGCGGCTATATTGAACAACATGGTTGTAAGGCCACTTTCTGCATTTAAATTTACAGGTAATACATACATAAGACGATAGAAAACTTTTATAGTAGTTTCAACTTAGGTGTAATTGCTATGTTTAAATTCTAAGAGTGTCATTGGCTTTTAGTAATATTGTTTGAAAGGATTAGTATGTGCCTATCGGGGGTTGACTGTAGGAATTTGGCTGCTCTCATAAAAAGGAAAAGGCTCAGGTGATGTCCCCGGAGCAGCCTGAAGTAACAAGACATGCCTCTTTTTACAGTTAGAACTGCTGAAACCTGAGGGCGGAATCGCTGACCTTCCTCTGAACAGTGCCACCATGCCCTGCCTGAATGGGACCCTCCGCTAGAGACCCTCCTCTGTTCCAACCCCATCTTGTATAGGGAGGGTGGGAGGTGGGCTGGGTGCTTGCTTTGTTAATTCCCACCTGGAGAGCGTGTTCCCTTTTTAACCAAGGGCCCGGGGAGTCTGCAGGGTTTCTCGACCTCAGCCTATTGACGTTTTGGGCTCTGTGATTCTGTGTTGTGGAGGACAGTCCTGCACCCTGGAGGATGTTTATCAGTAACCCTGGCCTCCACACATTAACAATACACACTTGACTTAGATCAGGTGCTAGTAGCACCCCCCAACCCTCCCAGGAGCGCCCATCAAGCATTTCTCCAGACATTGTGAAATAGCTCCTAGGGTGGCAAAAATCACCCCCCGGTTGAGAACCACTGATCTAGACAGTAAGTTCTTGGACTATGAGCTACTTACGAAAAGAGAGCAATCTTACTTGTTAATTTTATGTTTTTAAATCTATAATACCTAGCAGGTGCCTGGGGTGTGACATATACGCAATTACTCAATTAAGCATCACTTGGATGAAAGAATACAAGGCCACTATCATTTTTTAACTATTTAAATATCGCCCTCAGTGCCTAGCAAAATGTAAGACTCAATCAACATATATTTTCTGGTTGGTTAATGTTCTTACAGGTTTGTTTGTTTTTTAAATTCCTGCTAGTAACTATTTCCAAGGAAGTAAAATGATGGGGAAAATATTGTTTTTCATACTTTAACGTGCATGAAACAATTTCCTGCCCTGTTAGACTTTTTTTTAGCCAACAGTGTAAGTCTAAAAATATAGTCTCGGGCCGGCTGAGTGGCAGGTTGGTTAAGAGCTGGCTTGGGACGCCAGAGGGCCCCGGTTCAGATCCCACATATGAGGGCCAGTGACACTGCCCTCTACAGCTTAGATGCTGAACAACAGCTCAACCTGGAGCTGGGCTGCCATGAGTCGAGGCAACGGCGTAGGCTGCAGCCCCTGCTGCAGTGGGTTGCCATGGGCTACCGTGTGTAGCCAGCAGGCAGCGTGAGAGGCCGTCCAAGAAGCCCTGATCTGCCTCACCCGGGAAGAGCGCAATGATGGTGCCAACTTGGGCCAGTGAAGCAACGTTCTCAACTAGACTAAAGAACAAAAAGGAAAGCAACTTGTCTGTTCCCCTTTCCCCAATTCCCCAATAAAAATAGTAATAATAATAAAAAAATATATATATAGTCTCATACTTTCCAAATTAAGTACCATAATTGTCTGTGTGCGGAAGCAGGGCTCCACCACCTCTCGGCCTCTGTCTCTTCACCGAAGTTTGTCCTGGGTGCTGGTGTCAGTAGAAGCCAGTCACGTCCAGCACCAGATATGCCCCCGGGAATCCCTGCTGCCAGCTGCACTGCAGGAGAAAAATAGAGGGCTGGGTTCAGTTTGCAGTTCCTGACTTTTAAGCTGAGCTTGCCAGCAGGTGATGCTTTTATCTCATTTGTCACAATCAAACCCTGCAGAATAGGCCTACTAATTAAAGCCAAACCATTGCACCTAAAACTTAGGGGATGTTTTACCTCTGCGTACACGTGGCCTCGCGCTGCAAAGAGAAATTAAAGGCATTCTCACCAAGCACAGATTTCATTCAACGATATATTTAGCACAGTCTGCCCTTCACTGCCTGTGTACCTAAACTGTTTATGGTATTTTAAGCTTCTTGGACAAGATTTCTTATTTAATGGGAACTATCACTCTCTAAACGCCATTATCATTGGCCTACATTTAAAGAACTGCTGTATTCATACAACCAAGATCACGAAAGCCCTATTTAACTAGGGACAAGGTCAGAGCATTTATCATAATTCAACAAGGAGAAGGAAAAAGGGCAGCTTGTTTGTCAAAACTGTCCCTGCCCTTAGAGTAGTGGTTTGCTGGAGACATATTAGAATCACCTGGGCAGCTTTTTAAAGTCCCGAGGGTCAGGCCACAGACCAGACAAATTAAATCAGAATCTCAGGGTAGTGCCCAGGCATTGCACATTCTTTTAAGTAAATGTTTTATTTTAGAACAGTTTTAAGTATATGGAAACATTACAAAGATAGTACAGAGAGTTCCCGTATACCAGGCCCAGTTTCCCTTATTTTTAATATCTCATATCAGTGTGGTACATTTGTCACAATTAATGAGCCAATATTGATACATTATTACTAACTAAAGTCCATACTTTTTCATAAATCCTCAGTTTTCCCCCAATTTCCTTTTTGTACACCAGCATCTCATCTAGGATGTCACAGTGCAGTTAATCATGTCTCCTTTGATTCTTCATAGCTTTAACAGTTACACAGACTTTCCTTGTTTTGGATCACTGACAGTTTGGAAGCGTGCTGGTCGGATATTTTGTAGAAGGTCCTTAAATTGGGATTTGTCTGATGTTTTTCTCTTGATTAGGCTGGGATTAGGTGCTTCGGGGAAGAAGTTCATAGAGATAAAGCCATTCTCATCACACCAGACCAAGGGTACACATATCAGCATGATTTATCACTACTGATAGTGATCCTAATCATTTGGGTGAGGCAGTGTTTGTCAGGTTTTTCCAGTGTAAAGTTACTCTTTCCTCTCCTTTTTCACACTGCACTCTTTTTAAGGAAGTCACTGTATCCTACCCACACTTAAGGAATGGGGGTTATATTCCACTTCATGCAGGATATAGTATCTATGTAAAACTTTTAGAATTATTTGGTACAGGAAATTTGTCTGTTTCCCTCCATTTATTTATTTATTCATTCAATCCATAATTTATTTACATCAGTATGGACACATTTATTTTCTACTTTGGGTTTCAGTCCAATACTACTTGATTTTGTTGCTTATACATTTTGGCTTTGGCCCTCAGGAGCTCTTTCAGTGGCCCCTGTGTCCCTTTGACATAGCCCCATCATTGCGTTGTTGTTGTTCCAAGCACTTCTTACTCTTTTTCTTACTCTTTACATCTTACACTATAAGATGTTCCATGTTCATCTTTTATATTTGCTACCCTAGTCCTAGAATCAGCCATTTATCTAAGTTCAGGTTCCTTTTGTTGGTAGGTATGTTCATTGCTTCAGGGGTGTCCTTGCTTCTGGCCCTTTCAGTTGACAGAACAAGGAAATATAGGTGTGTGACTTCTAATACACACACACACACACACACACACACACGCGCGCGCACACACACACATGAGGTAGGACAATTAAGTTCGTGAACTCATCCTAGAAAAAGTGCTACATACCTCATTGCTGAATATCACTGTGATCACCTTCAAAGTACTCCCCTTGGGAAGTTATACACAGATGCCAGTGCCTAGCCCACCCTTCAAAGCAATTTTGGAACGCCTTATCTGGAATGGCCGTCAGAGCTGTCATGGCATTACCCTTGATGTACTGAATGCCATCGGAATGTCTTCCTTTCAATATCTCCTATATCTTCAGGTAAACAAAGAAGTCATTGGGAGCCAGATCAGGTGAGTAGGGAGGGTGTTCCAAAACAGTTATTTGTTTACTGGCTAAAAACTCCCTCACAGGTAGTGCCGTGTGAACTGGTGCATTGTCATGATGCAAGAGCCATGAATTGCTGGCAAGAAGTTCAGGTTGTCTAACTTTTTCACGCAGCCTTTTCAGCACTTCCCAATAGTAACCTTGGATAACTGTCCAGCTGCTACAAATTCATAATGAATAATCCCTCTGATATCAAAAAACGGTTAGGGACATCATTGCAACAAGTTCTCAAATTTAATTGTCAGACATCATATATATATATAAATTTTATATGCAACCTTCGGTACCTGTATTAAGCTAACATGAATCCATATTGATGTCTCTAACTCTAATCCAGTTACCAGATGGATGTGTCCAGCCTCCTCGTCTTGCTTATCTATATGATCCCACTCCAACAGTAAAAAACTGGCTCCCATGTATAGTAGTATCAAATTATTAACCTGCACCTCCATGGGAAACTTTATCAATAAGAGTATAGTGCCTTTAGTCTTACAGGCTCCTCTCATTTCCAAGGTTACTTTGGTCAACACCTTTTTGTCTCCACATCCTTCAGAGAGGTTGTTGAATACATTTGTAATGCAGTTATATTGCTTTGTCACAATTCACTGTCTTAGATAACCCCCTGGGCTTCACTTGTTCAACACTTCCCCTCCCCCCCACCAAGCGAGCCGCTGGAAACCACTGATCTTTCTACCATCTTTATAGTTTTGCCTTTCCCAGAATGTCATATAATTTGAATCATATAATATGTGGCTTATTCATACTGGCTTCTTTCACTTAGCAACTTGTATTTAAGTCATTCAAGATTTTTTTTGTGGCTTGATAGTTCATTTCTTTTATTGCTGAATAATATTCCATTTTATAGATGTACCAGAGTTTATCCATTCACCTATTAAAGGGCATTGCGATTGCTTCCAGTTTTGAGAATTATGAATAAAGTTGTTACAAACATTCACATGCAGGGCTTTTGTATGAATATAAGTTTTCAAATCAGTAAATATGAACTTCTATTCAATCGCTGGATGGTATGGTAAGATTACCTCTAGCTTTGTGAGAAACTGCCAGGCTGTCTTCCAAATTGTCTACTCTTTTGCTCTCCCACCAGCAATGAATGTGACTTCCTTGTTGTTCCATATGCTAGTCAGCAATTGATGTTTTCAGTTTTTAAATTTTAGCCATTTTAATAGGTATATAGTGTTATCTCATTATTATTGTAATTCGCAATTTCCTGATGACAAATGATATTATCTTTTCACATGCTAATTTTCCATTTGTATATCTTCATTGGTGAAGTGTCTGATTGATCTTTATACCATTTTAAAATTTGATTCTTTCTTTATTGTCCACTTTTAAGTGTGTTTTGCATATTTTGGATATACGTCCTTGATAAGATATGTGTTTGCAAGTATTTTCTCCCAGTGTGTAGCTAGTCCTTTGATTCTCTTAACAGTGTCTTTCACAGAAGTTTTTATTGGGTTGTTGGAAAAGTCATGACACATTTGCATTGAAAAACATAGAAAAATACATCATGACTTTCCTGACGACCCAATAATTTTAATAAAGTCCAATTTATCAGGGTTTTTTTCTTTGCTAAATCATACTTTGAGTCATCTATCTAAAAACTCATCATCAAACCCAAGGTCACATAGCGTTTCTCCTGTGTTTTATTCTAACAGATTTAGTTTTTTGTATTACATGTAGGCCTATGATCTATAATTGAGTTCATTATTGTAAAAGTACAAGGTCTGGGTCTAGGTTCATTTTTTATTTTACATATGGAATTCCAATTATTCGCACCATTTGTTGAAAAGCTTATCCTTTCTCCATTGATCTGCCTTTGCTCCTTTGTCAAAGATCAGCTGACTACATTTGTGTGGGTCTATTTCTGGCCTCTATTCTGTTTCATTGATCTATGTGTCTATTCTTTCATCAGTGAGCACTGTCTTGATAACTGAAGCCTTATAGTAGGTCTTGAAATTGGGTAGTGGGATGCCTCCAACTTTGTTCTTTTTCAGTATTGTGTTGGGCATTGCTATTTTTTTTTTAAAGCTTCCTAAATAATTCCAACGTGTGGCCAAAGGTAAGAATCACTGCCTTGGAGGCAGCCGGAAATAGAAGCAAGAACATGGATATTAAAGTCTGTAGGCAAGCCATTGAAATCCTAGGATTTCAGTTTCCTATTCAGGAAATGGGAGATTAAAATGCTTACTGGCAGAGTTTTTGTCAAAGCAACACCTTAGAGACGGGATGGGATAAGCACGTAGCAATGGACCATTCAAGCTGAGTTCCATTTTCTCTACTTTGAATGCTTCCTTGTCTCTTTTGTTAGTGTACTCTTTGACCATTTTCTTCCAAATATTATGAAAGATTGGCATAATTATTATTATGAAACATCTTCCGATAGCTGCATAAACATGCAAGATGGGTTATAGTACAGTTTTGCTGCTCCTGGAATTTGGCTGCCTAGACTAAAGAAATAAGCCCATTTGAGAATCTTTCTTAGAAGAAAGTAATTCATGTTGATCCCATGGGGAATTAATACTGGTCTATTTTTTAATAATTTGAAGAAGGGATGAAACTTTACTGACTGCATGGAAACAATAAGTAGCAAATATTAGGTTGTCGGAAAAGTCATGACGTATTTTTTCTATGTTTTTCGTTGCAAAAATGCATCATGACTTTTCCGACAACCCAATAGTACAAAAGATAAAGAAAAAAATAAGAGTGAAGAAAGTGCTTGTTTGTTTTTCATTAAGGCAAACAGGCAAATGATCAGAAAGAATTTTTTTTTGAGCAACAATGGATCTTTTTATGACTATAACTTTCTACTTATTTAAATTGGGACCCTTGTATCTGTACACATTTACATGAGTGAGCT